TTTTAATTTATTTGTTTGCTCGGGGCTTATTTTCCTTTTCCTTTTTGTTGGCCCCTAGCCCTAGTAGAAGAGTTTGGTCACCACCATCCAATAGGCCTATAATATTCACCATCGCACTTATACACTTTAATCCAACTTCATAATTAGAAAAACGGAGGAGGAGACTTTAAGCAACAACAACTATCCAAGCAAAATATAATTTGTGGTGAATTGCTCCGAGCCTTGTCACGCTTACATTTGAGTTTCTCATCCACCAATCTTTATTATTAAGTCCTCAATTCAATTTTACTTCCAAAATTCTCCCTCTAAAATCAGGTGGGCCAATGTCATTGTACCTTGGGAAAAGTAAACAAGAAGATTGACAAACAAGATGAGAAGCAGGTTGTGCAGCCAACGACGTCGTTGTACTGGCTAACGTAACTCAAATGGATTGTTTGGCAAGTCTGGTACAAGGACAACCGCGTAAAAAGCTACCATATCTCAAAAAGAAAGAAAGAAGTTGACACGTGGTATCATCTTGTTTGATTAAAAAATAGGCGAATGAGCGACAACAAAGATGGTACCTTCCACTTTCCCTTGCAAGAAACGCCCAAAAACTGAAGATAAGCACAACATTCAACATTTGCCACCATGACAGCAGATCAGATGACAGCTGAGCTGACTGATCAGATTTGAGATACATCCAAACGACTGCGCTTTGATCCTTTTAATTAAACTCCCAACATTCCCAAGAAGACGAATTCTTGACTTAAAACCCCTTTCAAGTTTTCAATAATTTCCTCCAAAAGCAGTTCAGATTTGCGTTTATCAGAAGCAGCCTTTGATTAATTGACCTGTAAAAGTGGACTCCCTTTCATTTCTCTTTTAAATAGCCGCCACCCCAGACTTGTCAAAGAGCTAATAATTAGCTCATTCAGTGTCTCTCAATTCCTATTATCTCATTCTCAACAAGGCAGGCTGCGGCAGATGGCGGTTTCTGATGCAGTGGCTAGGAACTTGACGACGATCTACGTGGCAGTGATCACGGGGATCAAGGCGTATGGGGTGTTGTTTGGTCAGAGCTTCAGTGGTGGCTTTGTGTTAATCGTGTCCACTATCGTGGTGTGCCTTATCCTGATTGCGACTCTGACGTGGGACGTGTCCCGTAAAGCCACGTATGCAATCCGGCGCGACCATTCTGTTCATGTCCACGACATGTGCAGGGGTGGTATTTGCTGGCATGGTGTCGCCGTCCAGTCGTCGGCTTCTGAGGTCCGGCTTAGGCTCCCGCACCAACTCAGCTACGGCTCTTCGTTAAATTGATAGCGGGAATCTTGAAGTGGGTAAAATATATATTTCTTGGTCGTTGATGTGTTGATGTGTTGATGTGTTTGCGTTTATCTACGAACGACGTACATGGAGGGTTTTGCTTTTTGGATCGAGTGAGGAATATGATTGTGTATAAATAATTAATGCGGACAAGGTAATGCAATTGTGTGTTATATATTGGGCTCACACTGGTCTCTTTAATTAACAGTTGAGAACTGCAAGTGCAAACTACCCTTCAATTTATCCAAGAGTTTGTTGTAAATTAAGCATTGTTTGTTTTCTCTCCAATAAACAAACAAATAAATAAATAAACAACACCACGGCGCCCACGCCGTAGTTAAATTAGTCACAGCCGACCATAATCAGATCTTCCTTTTTTATTTTTTACTTTTCTACGAGTGTTAAGATAGAAGATTGTACTAAATTTTTTGTTAAAACAGGAACATATATACTCGTGGGTGAGTCAGTCTGGTGATGGCAAATCTTGTCCTGATCTCCAATGTCAACTCGGATTAGATGTAATCACGCCATGGTTCCATTCGATTTACTTCCCTGCTAGACAAAGTGGAATTTTTTTCTAAAACACAAAGCCACTACCACTAATGTTATATAAGCGATGCGAGTGACTCGTCTGTCCACTCACATCTCGCACTATTTATCGGGTGTTGGATAATTTAAGGGAAAAATAAATACCAATAGACCAACAATGAATTGGTATGATAGTGACACTAAACTTATGCTAAAATATGTACTATTTACATAACAAATCAAGGGTATTTTGGAAGGAGTGGCCTAATATTTGGTCAACAAAGAAAGAAAAACTAACACAACCCAGGAACAACCATACTATAATTTGTTAGATGTGAAAATGCAATTAACATTATTAGAATTGGAAAATATAACTTTTGTGCACTAGCTAGGGGTTCAAGTTGGATTGGAAAATCCGATTCCGATCGATTTCATTTTGAAAATTTCCAATTTTGGCAAGTCCAAATCAATTCCAACATCTGAAAGTTTTGAAATCCGAAAATTCCGATAAAAATTGGATTGGAATTGGAATGTATCTAGAGATTCCAACAAATTCTAAATTCCGAAATATATTGGGTTTCAAGCTTGTACTACACACAATTACTAATTTTATGTTGAACTAAATATAATTTGATGACCAAATAAACATAGACAAGTTATTCTATAAAGTATAACAATTTCTAAGTACTAGCATATAATAGTTTTCCAAGCTTATGGTATGAGTTTTCAACTTTGAGTCAATTTAAATCCTTCAAATGGTTGGGGATGTTTAGAATTTTGAACTATTTTATGCAATTTTTCAAAAAAAATATGAAATATGTACGTTTTGAAATATTCTAAAAATTTTGAGTTTTCCAAATTGGAATGGTATTGAAACTCCAAAGTATTTTGGAACGGAATTGGAATATAATTTTCATTCCAAATTTTTTTGGAATGGAATTAGAATCCCGTAATTCCGATCTAATTTGTCCAAAAATCACCCCTAGCACTAGCTCACAATAAAAATTGAAGAAATTATATGCCAAATCTAGTTGGGTTGGACTAAAATGTAAAAAACTTAAAATTATTATATGTTGTAAAAAAAAAAATGTTCCAAGGTTGGGCTCGGCTATATAGCCCAAGAAAGGTAAGTGTTAATGTAGGGCCAGATTGTTGTCACTTAAAAAAAAAAAAGTTAATTCTAGTGCGCTTTGAAAATAATTAACTGTAAAGTAAAAGTAGCTCCATTCCAATATTTTTAAAATGTTGTTAGTACGAAAAGCACTCTCAAAACTGTTTGGTAATTTTAATATAAAATTGTTGTAATTGTGAATAATGAACATCATGTTGAAAGTGTTATGTGCTAATCATGTGGAGGTAGTGGTGGTGGTAGTTGAGGTGGTGGTGAAATAGATAGAGGTGAAGGTGGTGGTGGAAGAAGTGGTGATGATGCCAATGGGTTCCCACCACAGTGGTGGTGGATTCCCCCTTCCCCCCGTGGCACCCAGGATCGAACCCCAGTGGGGTTTCTTTCCTCCAATGTAACCAAAAAAAAAAGAAGAAGTGGTGATGATGAAGGTGGTTTCATTTTTAAAAATTAATGATGTTATTTTGGGAATTAAAAAATTCATTAAAGGCTCATCTATGTTTCTTTTGAAAGCTGCTTTGAAAAACAACCCAGAGCCTGCTTTTAAAAGATGTTGTTAAAAGGCCACTGTTTTTTAAAATAATCGGAATATTTTATTTTGAGTTTTTATATTTAAACCCCACATTTTTCTTTGTTCATCCCAATACTTAAATCATTAAGCACTTAAATTTTATTATTGTGTAAAAAGACAAAAAAGGTCATCCAACTTAATACTTAGCCTTAGTACATCTATACACACACTCCACCACTCGTCATATTAAGTATTAGAAAAATACAAACTCCCCTACACCCTCTTGCTTGAGAAATTGCTGGGGGATGTGGAGTGAGATTTTGTTCATGAAGACAACAAAACTAGACTTAATTTATCTTCATAGACAACTAGCAGGGCTGGTAGAAGTCCACTTTAATTCTATCAGAATCTATGTATCTAACAGAACAGAATTTCAAGGCAATGACAATAAGTAACCAAGCATTTAGTTTGAGTTCATATATTCAGTTTTTCCTTTATCAAGTGCGAACAACAATAACCCAACTGATATGACCAATTTAAAGATAAACTAATATGACCAATTTAAGGGCTAAAACTTGTAATTGCCAACATGCTAAAGTTCTAATTGTCAACATTCTCAATGGGGCTAGCTAAATCAGTCTTCTACTTTACTTGAATTACAGTAGCAGACTAGGGAAGACTTAGGAACAAAACTATTTCACTCCAACTAGTACAGAAATTGAAATCATCATAAGTCTAATGCACCCAATGTTGCAATTGCACCAGTGTAGGCAAAACTCTGGTGCCTCGGAACATCAAAATTAGGGATTTCAGTGAACAACACAACAATGCACATATGAACACCTGGATCAAAACAGCAAAAATTTGCATAACTTTTCAGTCATACAAGCTAAAAAGTTAGCCAAATCAACAAAACGAAATTCACACAACCAGTCATTTATTCATCCATGGTGTGGGGCAATATAGCGGGGGTTGGGGTGTGAGGTTGATGAGTTTTATTTATTTATTTTTTCTGCTGAGTGTGTATTTAGGGGTAGTTTGAGAAGATAGTGGAGTTTTCTTAGAAATTGTGAAAATTTGAATTAGAAGTTGGGGTGAACTTAGAATATGGGGTAAACAAAGAGAAATGTGGGGTTTGGATAAAAAAAGCATGTTTGGGCCAAATACCTTAGACTGCTTAACCTTAAAATGAAGCATGTTTTGGACCAAAAAAAGCAAATCCAAAACGGGGTCGTAATTCTACCTTTGCTAAAATAAAAAATAAAAAACCATTCAAATGTGGTCAAAGGCGCTTTCCCTACCGTGTGTATTGGGATATTTTTTTACCACTAAAAATTGTTAATTTGGTATTGAATTCACTTTTATTAATTTTCATTGGTTTGTTGTTATTTTATATTTTATATACAACATACATTTTTTATTGCTAAAATCATATAATTTTCAATGTGGTCAAATTCCATTTCTCTGTTATTAGTTATTGCGGTACCAACCACCTTCTACGCCCGTATCGACCGCTAATTGTTTTGTCCAAAAAAAAATTTTGGTTCGAACATTGTTGTCCAATATACATCATCAATCTCCTATCCAACGGCTCAAAACGGAAGGCAAGCAACCACCCAGCAACACCAAAGCGTTTCCCGTACACAATTGACACTCTCGGCCTACAGGTCCTCAAGAATCTAATCTGCAGCCCCCCACTTTCGCCGCTCCTTCTTCTTTCGTTTGTCGTACAAGGTCTTTCTTGGCCGTATCGGACATCTTCAAAACCGACACGCAATGGCTGAAACTCCATCTCAGTCGCCACCACGATCTGTGCCGGAGGCGGAGACGGAGACGGAGATGCTGCAGTACTGGTGCTACCACTGCAACAAACGCGTGTCCATCGAAACCCTTGCCAATCTGCCGGACATCATCTGCCACGAGTGCAAGAACGGGTTCGTCGAGTCGATCCCGGCTGTGTCGTATGCACAGTCGGATCCTCCATCTGAATCGACGGATCAGGTTGACGACCCGACTTTCGGCTCTCCCTTCCTCCAGGTGCTCCGTTTAATCGCTCAAGCGGCGCGTGAAGAGGACGCTCCACCACCGCTGCCACAAAATCCTTTGCCCGAGGATGATTTCTTCAGGATTGAGATGGACGGGTGGGACAACGACGAGGACGAAGACGATGCGCACAGTGTTGAGTTTCACAACCAAGGAGGTGAGGAAAATGAAGAAGCCGGAGAGGAAGTAGAAGACGAAGAAGATAGATCGGATAACGAGGATGAAGAGAACCAGGAGGATCAGCAAGAGACCGATGAACAAGACGTGAGACGACGTCGTCGCGATGTGCTTCGTCTCCGCATCCGAGACATTGCGACCCGAACAAGGACCGGGAGGAACCGGATTCTGGACTGGGCTGAGATCTTGATGGGACTGGAGGACAACTCGATCGAGTTCCGGCTTGAGGTACCCGAATCGGACCGATATATCGGCAATCCCGAGGATTACGTGGACGCAGCTGGCTATGAGGCTTTGTTGCAGACCTTGGCTGAAAGTGATAACGCTGGAAGGAGAGGGGCTCCACCGGCGTCCAAAAACGCCGTATCTGAGTTACCGACGGTCAAAATTGCGTCGGAGGATGAGGCCTTAGTGTGCGCCATATGCAAGGATATGGTGAATGTTGGTGAAGTGTCGAAGAAGCTGCCGTGTGGGCATGGGTACCACGGTGATTGCATTGTGCCTTGGCTGAGTTCCAGGAATTCTTGCCCGGTTTGCCGGTTCGAGCTGCCCACCGATGACCCTGAATACGAGGAGCAGAGGCAGAGGCAGAAGCAAACTATGATTATCAGTGCAGCCGGAGCTTCCGGTTCTGGTGGAGATAATTCGGTCTCCCATTGATTCGAATCGGTATCACTGTTTCTGCTATTACAACCCTCCTCCCCTTCTCTTTTTTTCTTTTTCTTTTTCTTTTTGTATTTGTAATTTATTTACTTGCTTTTGTTTGTTTATTAGTTTAGTAGACGATTCTAAGAAGAAATTGAGATCTGTTTTCATTTTTTTCCATTTTCTTCTGGATGTAAATAATAATTTAACTCAATTTGCTGGTGGTATTTGCTCATGTTTAATTTTCTATGTCTTATCATACATGCTACAATATACAAGGACTGCTTCTTTCTCTTTAAGTTCTTATTTTGTGCTTGAAAGAGTATTAAGTTCTGACTTACTATTTGCCCAAAATCGTCTTGTTTAAACCCGTTGTTTTTGTTTTTCTGATTCAGAGACACTGCAAGCTGCAATTTTCTGATTCTGTGCTTTCCACAGTTGCATGAAGTTTTTTATAGATGCAAATCATGGTAATGCATCTCTGGAAGTGTATGCCCTTTTCATATTATTACCTGGATTGTGTGCTGTTTGCTCTGGAAGTGTACGGTCTAGAGTCTTAAAAATGGATGAAATGAATTTGATTTGTAAATTTGTGTTTTACTTCGATATGTCATGGGAGTTCTGTGTGGCGGGAACTTGTGGCTTCCTCTACCCCCTCTTTTAAAAAATGTGATAATGGTACCCGTTTTATATAGATGGATGCAAGGGCTGTCAGGTAAAGAAATGCTTTGCTGAGTTGTGCTTAGGAGTTTGATTATGAATTGGCAAAATCCAATTGATATGATCTGCTTTATTATGTTTTGGTTGTGTGCTTTGCTCTGCTATGCAGTTAACTATCTAGGCATTTTCCATGTATCTAATGTAGTGATTAAGGGTTGTCTCCCATCTCTCCCTGAAATTGAAATTTGAATTAGGGTGTTACCAGTAAACTTCTTCCGCATTTCTGTTCAGAATCAAATGGCATCATCTTTTACCGTTTGTTTTCAAATAAAGCAGGCTGGATATTCATGGATTTAAAAGTGCTGTTTCTTTATTTGGTAAGCATAAACTTCTTGTAACAAGTCTTTATTCTCTGTGCATTTGGTCATCATAAACGCCAATAGAAAAATATTATATAAGCTGAAGAACAATCGACTATATCTTTAGAATTTTGAATCGTCTGACTCAAATGATATGGAGCCAAAATGGAAAGAGATGAGATACTGCAACAATTGATGTCTGATATGAGAATGCCTGAAGTCAGTCCAGCTAGACTGACAAATTGGTGGAAGAGGTTGTCCCTTAAGGTGAACCTTCCAATTTGAGCATCCACTTGACTTCTTTGAATAACGAAGTTAACTAAAAGGCATGTCTTGGAGTTTATAGCAGTCGGGGAAGGGTTACCAGGAATTTCTGTTAGCCGCTAAATGGCAGGCCGAGAGCATGTTTTGTTAGTTTGCGTGTTTGCCAAAAGACTCGTTAGTAATTGCAATGTCATTTTAGAATGCGCCTGAATTTTGTTTGACCAAAAGTCACTTTTGCTCCCTGTATTTTGGCACTTTAATTACTTTTGACATTGTAGTTTCAATTCCGTCAATTTTGCCATTGTAGTGCAAGGGGCAATTTCGTCAATCCAAAACCCTTGAGTGTAAAAACTTGTTTGAAATTCTCCCCATTTCATATAGGGCTTGAAATTCAACAACTAATCCCAATTTTTGAAGAACCCTAAATCCAAATGACCAATTTCAATCCCGAATATGAAATTAGGGGAGTTTCAGACGAGCTTTTATGTTCAAGGATTTTGGGTTGACGAAATTGCCCCTTGCACCGTCAAAGAAATTGACAGGAATGCTAACTTGTCCTTGAATTGCTACAAATATGAAACTACATGGTCAAAATTGACGGAATTGAAACTACAATATCAAAAGTGGTTGAAGTGCCAAATTAAAGGGACCAAAAACGACTTTTAGCCATTTTGTTTTGATGGGGTGAATTATGCAGGATTAATCGTCAGTTTTGTTATTGATAGAAGGTTAAATTGCTGATCATCAGTATAAGTGATGGTAGTATTTTCAACGAGGGTTCATCCTTGCACATAGTGTATTTTGAAAGAAGCACAAATCATACAATTGATCGCTTAATTGACGCTATCACTTCAATCCTATAGTTTTATTTTGCAAAATCACCAATGCAAATTATATTTGGGCACATTGAGTTGGGTGAGAAACACTATAGCTTCTTTTTTTTGGGTCGGAATCAATCATGTTCATTCAAAACCCATAAATGGGGAGGAAACAAACAGAGAATACAAAGGCCAAAAAGGCCAGCTAAAGGAACAAAATGCCACAAACACAGAGAAGATTAAACCAAAACCAGTACAATCTAGTATAATAGTCTTCCCCATCACAAAATCAATCCAAAATACAATACAAAGCCATCGTCTTCCGCAAAGGGGACGGAAACTGTACCATAATGGCCACAAAGGAGGGGATACACCACCACCACACAGGTCAGCATTGCTGCACATAGAGACCCACCGATCTTCCACCAAAAACAGATATTCCCCAAAAATTGGAAACACATCAGCCCTCGAACGTTCCTCCAAAAGTCACCTTCTCCATCACACCTAAATCTGCCAATGCACCTAAGAGAAAACAACCAATCACAACACCAAGGTATATACCAAAAGACCGACACCAAGAGAGTGGAGAGTATTGGTGCAAGCACTAGAGCAAGAACCATAGCAAAAGCTCTAAATACAATCCGAGAAATGAGCGACAAAGCGCTTATAGATATGGTTGTTGCATCCCAAAGGAGATTCCAGATCCAGAAAAATGATAAGGCAAAAAGAGGATGAGAAGATCAGATTAACAAATTTAATCCAATGATTAAGAGATATAGCCTCCAAAATTCTTGCTTCCACTTCAGCCCTTTTTATTGGGGCTTCCACTTCACCACGTCGTCGTTTGAATTGTATTGCCCCCCCCCCTCTAAAACCCTAAGCCAATATCCATAAACCCTAAACCTCAACTCATCCCTGACCCCGCATTAGTTCTCCATTACAATGGCTCCGACTTTCGTATTCGAGCCCCCAAGCGACGAAGAATATTCCGATGCCGAAGAAGAAGAACAGCAAGAAGAACAACAGGAGGAAGAAGAAGATGAACAACAAGAAGGTGTAAAACCCTCGCGACCTCGCCATTCCCAATCCCCATGGGACTTTGCTGCGTACTCCGAAACAGTCGCCGAAGAGCATGCTCGTCGAAGCACCACCTCCGTCGATTTCAAGATCTCCAAAGCCCTGCAACAACGATCCCTCCCAATCTCAGACCCCATTTCCGACGATGATACTAGCTCTGGATCCGAGTCCGACAAACAGGTACCAACTAACACTTCTATTTCTTTTGATTACTGAAACTCTTTCAATAAATTCAATTATATAAAGTTTTTGAAATGAATCTTGTTTGGTGGTGGTTATTTAGGAAGATTATAAGCCAGAAGATGATGAAGGCGATGATGCCACTAATGTCAGTGACAGTAAGTCATTTTTCTCTCCCTCAGACGGAGCGTCGTTTAATGCAAATTCGTTTATAGAGCTCAATTTGTCACGTCCTTTGCTTCGGGCGTGTGAGAAGTTGGGCTATACCAAGCCGACTCCAATTCAGGTCTCCAATCCTATTCCGCTAACAATTCATTACTTGTTACTTTCGTAATTTCATACACATCGTTTGAGTTTACCGAATTATTGGGTTTTGTATGTAGGCAGCGTGCATACCATTAGCTCTGAATGGGCGTGATATATGTGGGAGTGCAATTACTGGTTCTGGGAAGGTAAACCAGTTCTCCCTTCAGTAAAGTAACCATTACAGTTAGGGTTAGGGATTGTGTTAGTGGCGGTAGTTGTGACGAAATTGCCTTAGTTCATGCAATGACTGATCTTCCTATTTCATCTCAATCTGTTAACGCTTTTGTTCCTGGAATATTTTCACAGACCGCTGCCTTTGCCTTACCTACTCTGGAGAGACTATTGTTTCGCCCGAAGCGGGTACCAGCTATAAGAGTCCTTGTTCTGACCCCAGCCAGAGAACTGGCAGTTCAGTATGTGTTTTTCTGTCCTTGGTTTTTTTTATTAAAACGTTATATATATATATATATATATATATCCACCTTTTCTCCTATTTAGTGTGGATTACATTGTAAATTGAATTGGTTGACAAATTGCTAGAAACTTAAGTATGAGCTAGTCAATCTAATACTTACTATAATATCATATTTTGTCTTATATTGGTTGTTCAGACAAGATTGCTTGCTTTTTGAGGAGTTCCCTTTGTAAAACATCATATAATTTTTCTCCTTTGGTCTTGCCTTGTTAGTTTCGATCTAATTTCTGGTCATGGTTTCAGGGTTCATAGTATGATTGAGAAACTTGCCCAGTTTACCGATATCAGATGTTGCCTGGTTGTTGGAGGGTTATCATTAAAGGTTTGATTTGCATTCATTTCTTAATGCCTTAATTGTCAGATTCCTGGTTTGAGGTTGGATTGCTTGCATCAACTGAATTAGGTCAAATATTTGTACTCAAATATGAGGACCTTGTAGTAAGCGCAAAAACCAGATTGTACCTCTGAATGGAAAAAATTAACATATTAAGTGAAAGTGAATGAAATGATGATCCACATGAAGTGCATCTGCCCATGGGGATCATTGCATAATGCTTGCCTACGAAATGTTATTTTAATTGCTCTTTAGCTCGTCTGTTTTTTTTTCCTTTCACAAAAATATCGAAGTAATTCCATGTTTTATCAGGCACAAGAGGCGGCCTTGAGATCAATGCCAGATATTGTTGTGGCTACTCCTGGACGCATTATAGATCATTTACGTAATTCTATGTCTGTGGATTTGGAAGATCTCGCTGTTCTAATTCTTGATGAGGCAGATCGCCTTTTGGAGGTTGGATTTAGTGCTGAGATTCGAGAGCTGGTAACCCCTTGCTCCTTTCTTAAAAAGTAGAATGTGCCGTTTTGCCTTACAATTTTTTTAAAATTATTAAACAATTTCTAATCATTAGTGTATATGCAGATTCGTGTATGCCCCAAAAGGAGACAAACCATGCTATTTTCAGCTACGATGACTGAAGAAGTTGATGAACTTGTCAAACTTTCTCTGACCAAACCAGTACGCCTCTCTGCTGACC